CCGGTGCGATCGCAAAAAATAGTGCACTAGCCGTGCCGGAATGCACGACTCTGATAGCCAGAGGCATGACTCCCAGAGGCAAACGCATGATGGGATTTGTAGTTTCAATGCAGCTGGAGTGCCAAAGTTGCCTACCCATGATTTAAAATATCTTCTCTTTTGAAGGTTCAGTGTGCTATGCCCCAAAATTACTCAAGCAAAACAGAATTTTAAAACTGTGGCAGATACACTTTTATACCATATGGCTAATGCCTCAAAGTTGCAATAAATTGTCAAGCAAAACAATGTTGCTAACAGAGCTTGGGCAATGAAGTCAAACAAAAGTGACATACTGCTATCTATCTGCCTCTAAGCTGCAATAGACTGTCAGCTTCTTTGTGTCTCTTTATCGAAAGATAACCAAAATATATCCATGTTTAGTTGTATTTGATTTGCTAGAGTAGTAGAAATCGTATTACGGGCCCATTCATACCAGCCCGGCCCATTGTGGTGGACCGGGCTGATCCACCTGGACTGGTTAACTGAAAGATAACCAAAATATATCCAAGTTCAGTTGTATTTGATTTGCTACTACTAGAAATCATATTAAAAGGCCCATACCTGTCCGGTCTATTGTGGTGGAGCGGGCTGGTATAAATGAACCTGTAATAAAACTGCATTAATGTGTGTTACGTTGAGGCAGCTCATTCATTTAAATAGGCTGCCTAACACACCACAAATCGCTCCTGCAGCATTTACCTCAGCACAATATAACCCACGGTAGTACACTGGGTAGGTGGCTAAGGTGCTACTTTGTATGAATAACACTATTAATCATACTAATATGCATAACACTCATGTTATTACTGTGGTGCACTGGTATGAATAAGCCCTCAATTGGGCAAGATCAGCAACCCATCATCGTGATAGTTTAAAAAGAATGGCAAGAGGGTAATGGCATGCTTCCACAGTACCAGAAAGTGTGGGAGGCTGCTGCAGCTATGCGTACTTAACAGTATTTTCCCCTCCCCAGAGGTGCTTTAAAACCCGATTTCAGATAATGCTTGTTTTTCTGCATTCGTATTGTGTTCATATGATGAGTTTTTGATATTTGTTCTGGCTCAGCTTTTTATATCCCCTGCAGTCTCTCTCTTGAGACATATACATGACATTCAATGTAAGTGACAAATGAAGATACTAGGTTCTATGTGTTGTCGTAAACATACATATTCTATTGTGATTTCTATATTATTCTGATGCTATCCCATACTTTTCTGATGAAGCAGACTAAGGTTAGAAATACACGTCAAAAAGCTACCACCATTCCACTTGCAGATTAATTTTGCCCAGTGCCTAGTTAAGGCCTTGTTCACACCAAGCGCGTTCCAGGAGCAGAGCCGAGCAGGTAAAAAACTGCAGCAGGCCCTATTTTACCTGCTCTGGAACTCATCAAAAATGCATGCAAATGCCTGGAACGAACTGAAAGCCCATTTTAAAAACTTTAAAAAAAAAATGTTTTACCAAAAACGGCCTGGAACGCATCAAAAACGCGGCACAACCCACTGCACTGCGTGTGCAGAAACTCATGCAGATCTGCTCTGCATTTGGTGAGAACAAGGCCTAAAGGTAGTCTATATGGGTACATTATTTCTGATGTCTCTATATAGGATATCTTGTTTAAGAATATGCATTTTAGATGTGTTTTTATATTTAGTCAAATAAGAGTGATGTTTTTATGATATCATTTAGAGTTGTCCATTTATGAGGGTATGAGAGTTTCCAGTGAGTTTCCGTCTAGTGTTATATACCTGGAATGTGGTGTTTTAAAGCTGAACTCCAGGATTTGCTCCCCACCGCAATATATAATGTAATCTGCTCTGTAATTTGGACTACCACATCAATGTTGTTATCAGTAGCTTGTAGAGCCGTATGCAGCTCACCCAAGTCCCATCTGACGTCATTCCTCAAACTGTCTGCTGTTAACAATTCCTGCACATCTGTGCAAAGTTCCTGCTTGCAGGTCACATGATATTTATTTATGTATTTATTACAGGTATTTACTGTATATAGCGTCGACAATTTACGCAACACTTTGCATAGTTGCACATTCACATCAGTCCCTGCCTTCGAGGAGCTTACAATCTAAGGTCCCAAATCTTACATACATAAAAGGGCCAATTTAGACAGGAGCCAATTAGCCTTCCCGCATGTCTTTGGAGTGTGGAAGGAAACTGGAGTACCCAGAGGAAACCCATGCAAGCACAGGGAGAACATGCAAATCATGAAACTACATGCCCCATGATCATTTGGGACCTCTGTAGTTTAAGGACTGGCCATGGGCATCACTGTTGACAGTTCTGGCCATTGCTGTAGGCAATTAAAGGGCATAACTTAGTTCTCACTAATGCTACTGTGTGCACTGGTAGGTCTCAGGAAGGTGGGGTCATGGCTGGGAGGTATAGACATGAATTTCAGCATCAGCATTTCAGCATTAGGAGCTTGTCAACGTCACCTCTGTAGTCCCAGAGGGGAGTCTAATTAGCTCAACTCCTGCAGGAAATGGCTGTCGCATAGTCCGGAATAGGCATGTCATGGAGGGGCATAAGTAAGGTTAAATATAGAACAGTTAGGAATCTGGTGACATCAGAGCAAAATGGCTCAAAAAAAGAAACAAGTAATAGGCCAAGGTATCTTGGCCGTGTTTGTGGGAGGAGTTGCGGCGGCTCTCCTCCCCTTAAGAAGGGTGACAGGGAGCTCCTAGGCACGTCACGGCGAGGTCGCGCTTGACCCTCCCGCCCTTCCCCAGGTTCTATCATTTCACTAGAGCGTGCCCCCTTATTTGGCAGGCTGACCATAAAATCATGGCACACATCAGGTTGGTATCAGTAGGGGTCATGAAGACTTCGGAAGCCTAAGTAACTCTGACCACAAACAGGTATTTAATAAAGCATTTTTATTTGTGAAAAAAGGGAGTTACACTTTTTATTCATCTTAGGAACTGGTTGTATAAATATGGTTTGGTGCACGTATTGTGGAGTCTGTCCCAAATTTTCCCCTCCCTTTGCATCTCAGTAACAGGAACAAGAAGTCACACAGGTAGCAATTACAACCTGAAAGAATCCTAACTCTTCTTTAGTCTACACAAAACTAGAAAACAAGCTTTTGGCTAGAGCTGGCCATCAAATACAGCAGAAATGCCAGAATTCCAGGTGCAAAAATCCAGTCCCTTCTTCTCACCAGTATGTCTCTAGTCCAGTGGTGGCGAACCTTGGCACTCCAGCTGTGCCAAAACTACAAATCCCAAGATGCATCTGCCTCTGGGAGTTATATCTGTGGCTGTCAGAGCCTTGCAATGCCTCATGGGACTTGTAGTTCCAAAACAGCTGGAGTGCCAAGGTTCGCCATCACTGCTCTAGTCCTTCCAGCATCTAATTCTTGCTCAGTTGTTAAACCTTTTAAAAGAGTGAGAATACTGTGAAATGCAATGAATCATGTTAACGTATTTGGTCTGAACAACTGCAGAGCGTTGCACATACAAATCCATTTACTTTTTTGCAGATGAAACATTTTGCACAAAACAACAAATTTAGATTTGGTTGGTAAATGTGTTTATTTTTTGCTGAGTTCTCCTAGATGCTGACACACGAAAAAAAGAGAGGAGAGGAAAGTGTATTAGGTGATCAAACTGTCAGGAAGGAAAAACAGACACAGGATTTACACCAGAGATTTTCTAGACTTTGGGAACACTTTGCAACACTTATTGCAGATATAATTTAAACACCAACTCTTTTTTTCACATTTGAACTATTGGTCTACAATTGAGTAATAACTTACTCATTATTTTCGATACTGCAGGATTTCATAAATTGTATTTATGGGACATCAAGGTTTTCTTTTCGGGGTATTATCTCCTAATAATTATTTGATATTCTACGGAAGCACAGCCAGGATGAATTTGTCCCCAACAGAAATCGGAAGTCAGCAGGTGACTCAATAGTCTCCATTTAATAACTAAAATATCACTTATGAGTTGGACATATTGCCAGAAGTTTAAAATGCTTCCTGTGGTTAGAGCCAGCTACCACACTAGTCTCTCTTGGACAAGTGTAGCAGCTGACTTTTGTTATGTGCTTGTGTTTTTGTGAATGACGGCACTCCTCTGCAGCCACTATCATTTGCGGCAAAACAAGCCATCAGTTACTACTCGTCTCTTTCCTCTGAAACAGCATTTGGCTGGCAAGCATATCTGGGCTTAGAAGGGAGCAGAAGAGGCACAGGGCTGCACATTCACAAAGAGGGCTGACAGTATTCAGAGGAGGTGGGGGCCAGGTTGTGTGGGCTCTTTGTGCACTCCGTCACATCCCTTCTTGTCAGTTAGAACTAACATTCCCTTGCTATCAGTATTTTCAGATAGCAGTAGGGGGGAGCAAGCTAATTGACAATGCCGCTCAGCAGCCACTTCATGGATTTCAACAGGGACAAGTATGATATGCACTGGGTCCCCTGGGGGATTTAACAAGCATTTTAAACTTCAGACGATACTTCTTTAACAGATCCTTTAGGCCTTGTTCACACCTAGGAGTTTTTGAGCAGTTCAAAACGTGCTTTTAAATACCCAACACAAGAAATTCCATGATTTCCAATGGCCCTCGTTCACACCTGAGCAGAAAAAACTCCTGGAAAGGTACATGAGCTTTTTTGGGCAGTTAAAAGGCTTTTTGCCCCATAGACTTTATTGTAAATGCCCAAAAACTCGCGACAGAGGCATGTTGCACATGTTCGTGAGCGTTCTTCCATTGCCCACAATATTTTATGAGCTGCCAATCAAAACGCGCTTCTTCATGTACGCACGTTAAAACACGCATACAAATGTGCACAAAGTGCAAATAATCGCATGCTGTTAACGCGCGTACAAAGGCACAAAAACGGTGCCGCCTAGGTGTGAACCAGGCTTGATCACAACCCACTATAAAATATACTTTCTATACTTTCTCATTCACGTTATAGTTCAACATCAACAAAAGAAATAAATCATCAAGTAAGAAATTACAGTTCAAAAGACGGTATAGAAAAAAACTAACATTTATTATAGCTTGTTTTTTCCAATTTGACACTTCTTTTAATGTTAAAATGCAAGCATTAAAAGGTAGCAATAACTTTATCTTATTAAATATTTCAGATAATCCATATCATACTGTGTAATAATGGAAGTCCAATTCTGTAAAATCACAAGACCAATATTAAGGTCAAAGCTCATCCTTCACCTGCAAGAGATAAAGGTGCGACATAAATACATACAGTAATCATTGCAAAACATCATCGTTAGATTCTGCTATGTTCCGGGCTTGAAAAATTTTAGGGTGTCTCACCAGTCAGTCAAAAATGTCACCAGTCAGCATGACCGGACTATAGCCTTGCAATTTTATACATTTTTTGGGGACAGATTTTTTTACTATATAATGAAAAAAGTACCGGAAATGTAAAAACAAACAAAGTTTACCTACGTTATGTTATAAAACATTTATTCTTACCCATATTTTTGTTAAAACATAAAAGTCAGGGTCACGTCGGGTAAATAGACACCAAACATGTCAAGCCTTTAACTGCATGCGCCCGCAAAATCGCAAAAAACGACCACACTGAAAACTGGCCATAGGCAACGCTTAAAACGCTTTTACTGCTCATAATTTTAGTGTTATCGGTAATTAATGGCCCTAAAATGTTTGCTCTCACTCCGACGTTTGCGGCGATATGTAACATGTGCGACACAATAGGCACAATCGTCGTTTTCGCACGTAGGCGCATCCAACATATCTGCGTGTGTATGTGGGGGGCGGGGGACTTAAATTTTTTTACATTTTTTTAAAAAATATATGCTTTTTTTTAATGATTCTTTAATTTTTGTATTTACTTTTTTTTTTTGCACACAACTTTATTGCTATTACATGGGGGGCTAAGAAGCCCCCTATATAATAGCCAATTTACATGACAGGTCATCTTTATGGAGACATCAAGGGTCTCCAAGACCCCTAATGTCACCTAGGGACCCCCAGAGAAGCTGATGAAGCAGAGATCGGCTTCATCAGCTTCTGTAGCTGGAGAGTGACACTGAATGCGGAAGTGAGGTAATATACATCACTTCCTGCATTCGGGGACTGAGAGGAGATCCAATGGAGATCTGTACTGATCTCCCTTTGAGCTCCTGTCACAGAGCCGTGCCGGTCCCGGCCGCATCGGGCATAGCGGATCTCGAGACCGGCAACGGCAGTGACAGCTGCTAATACAAGCGATCAAGCGTCTCTACAGATTACAACGTGTAATTACAAAGGCCGGTCGGGAAGCTGCTCGTCGGGCTCCGCCATCCTCTCGTCACAGACAAGCCCTGGCTATGATGTATTAAAGTGTATCTAAACCCAAGAAGAAAAATTTAATATATTGCAGCTTACCAATCTTTAATTGTAGCGGCTGCATTAGCTTTCTTTTTAAGGCTTTTATTTTCTTTAGTTTCACCTGGTGATTTTGTAGTAACACTTCTTGTCCTAGGGTTACAGCACTCACATACTCTACATAACATTGGGGAGGGGGGGGGGTGTTTTGCAGTCCTAACATACTTCCTGAGAACATTGTTTGAAATTAGATTGCACAATACATAGGGCAGCACTGGATTTCTGGCAGGATCAACAAGTATTTTTTCCCCCTTTTTAAGCAGGTATAACAAAACTCATTAAGCTGAATCCAAAACATATAAAGCCGCACTCAACAGCCAGGACCTCGATATAAAAAAGTTTATTCCCAGGAATCTAAAACATTACAAGCAGAACAAGATCCACAGGCTCTGTCGTCCGGCTGATGAGCTTGGGCATACGAATGTGAGCCGTACCCTTTTCACAAACTTTTCATTAAGCTGAATATTTAACAGACCAAAAAGGACCATTTGCAGTGCAGCCTTTAAAGATATTTTTTTGCATTATTTACATTTCTAGATGTTCCCTCCAATGCTGTGAAAAGTACAGGCTGTAAAAAAACATATTTATTTTTATTTCCAGTCTAGCTGCTAGCTGTAGGTAGAGAACTCTCAGTGCATGTGTTTTGGCTGGGCACTGCCAGTTTTTTGTTGTAGGGAAAAAAAATCAGCAGAAAGGTTTTTTTCTTTCTTTCAGTGTAGCTGCTAGACATAGTAGAACACATAGTGGGTTATTCACAAAGCTGCCGAGGGCAGCCATGTGAATAACCAACCCGAAGTGAAGCTGTTCGGCTATTCACTTCAGGCTGGTACGGCTGATTTCAGCCGTATACCGACTGAAATCAGCGGTACATCGGCTTACTGCAGCTGGGTTAGGGTCGGCCGAACATGCTCAGCATGCTCTAGCCGGCCCGAAGTGCAGAAGAAGTTCAACTCAGCTGATCCAACAACTGGATCAGCTGAGCCGAACCTCTGGCAGGCTACTCGCTGCTGTTCGGCCTATTCTCATAGAGGCCGAACAGCAGTGATTTAATAGCTGAATGCCGCCGAGCGGCATTCGTCTCGGCTATTCTGCCCAGTACCTCTGTGGTACTGAGCAGAATAGAAAAACTGTAATAAAAAAAAAGTACCAAACGATTGGGCGGAGCTAGCAGTAGCAGGAGCTATAGTGAATAGCCCGTACAGCAGCCCTTCAGTTCTACTGAACCGAAGGGGTAGAAGCTAGCCGAAGGATCAGCCAAAGCTACAGCTAGATCCTTCGGCAGCTTTGTGAATAGACCCCTTAGTACTTGCGTTATGGCTGGGCACTGCCTGTGCTGGAAAGGCTATTCTGCTGGATGCAGAAGAACTCTCAGTGCATGTGTTTTGTCTGGATACTGCCTGAGCTATAAAGGCTTTTCACTGTGGGTGACAATGTAAATCAGCCGCCTCCTTTCAGTCTGGCTCACATGCCCCCTTCCCCTAAAATGCCTAGTGATGGCGTCTGGTGCCTGAGACAAGCACTGTCAATCAGCACTCATTAGCTAGTTGTCTCCTTGTGAGAAGTGTTGTTGAACAGTGGTGCGGAGCACACTGTCGACCATGCAAACTCCACATCCATACCACATAGGAAAACATGACTTGCATGAATTATAGAAAGGTTTGGTGGCAATTGCTCTTTAAAGGAGAACTATGAGGTAAGTGCTTTTCACTCACCTCATAGTTCTAGCCGACCTGTGACAATGAGACTATCACAGGTCGGCTCAGTAGATCTGGAGGTGAGCGAACACATACCGGCGTTCGCTCACCTCTCGATCCTGTCACGGCTCTCTGCCGTGACAGGGGAGGGGCTGGATTCCCCCCTCCCCTGGGGGGAATAGGCAGAGCCAGCTGTCACTCACGCAGCTGGGCTGATCCCGGCATAATTGTCGGGATCCGCTTCAGCTGCGTGAGTGACAGCTGGCTCGTGAGTGACAGCAGCAGCTCGCGGTATACTGCGGCGTCTCAGTATACAGTAGCTCGCGGTATAGCTGTAGCTCGCGGTATACTGAGCCTAGGGTGACGGGAGGACGCTAGTTTGTGTCCTCCCGTTACCCTAAGGAGAACTATGGGGAAAAGCCTTAACCCCATAGTTCTCCTTTAACTGATATCATATGCAGAACAAAGCTGGTCCCTTTGTTCTGCAGATGGCTAAAACAGTAAATAAAAAGTTAACAATGTTACTTTGTATCTCTTTGTCTGACATCTGAACAGTGTTTATAAACTCTGTGTGAGAAGGGTCATTGTTGAATAGCATCAACTGTAATAACTGCTGTATTTACATTGCAACTCCCTGCCGGAATTGCTGGCAAATACAAGGGGGGAAGTGGGAGTGGGGCAGAAGGACATGGTCATTGTGCAGTAGAGTAGTTCAACTTGTGTCATAGGCACCTATTTTTCTGATTTTAACATCATATACATGGATTTAAGTGTTTTGCTCACCAAATTTCTGTGGCATTGGCATGGGAAAAGGTTATCTGAAGGGTGTTCAACAATTTCCATTCCTTCTCTTATTTTTGGTTCGCTCACCTGCAGCTTTGCATAAGCCTATAATAGAGAAAAATGAAGTACAACAATAAAACAAAAGACTTGCAAAAATGTTATCAAACACAGTTTCGTATGCACTTTCCCCAGCAGGGCAGATAATCCAGGATTAGAAAATGCTGGTTGAAGATTCAGTGACATAATACAATCCTATAGTTGTCTTAGAATGCATTTGCACCTATCTGTTTTGAAGCAAGGCATTAAAAACCCCTGCATGGTGCATTTTCCATATAAAATGACACTTCAAAAGGCATCAGTGTGCTGATGCCTTATTTGGAAGTGTCATTTTTTAAGTCAAACCTGCCTACAACACACAGAGATGTGAATGTAGCCTTATGCAAAACCATTCTGTATACAAATACATGAATCAATAAATACATAGATACTCATGCACTACACATGCAATCCAGCGATAGATATAGGGGGTTGGCTCGCTACTGCATTTTTCTATTTGGAAGAATAGTTACATTGTTGTTACGTTTAAATAAAGGCACAGGTCCATTCTTGACTGAACTGACAGTAAACAGTTTATTACTGATTATCCCATCAACATTAAACAATGTGTAGATTAATATCATGTCCACTCTCAGTCTCCTCTTTTCAAGAGTGAATAAGTTTAATACATGCAGTCTTTCCTCATAGTTTAGGTCCTCTAACCCCTTTATTAGCTTTGTTGCCCTTCTCTTGACTCTCTCCAGCTCAAGGACATCCTTTCTGTGGATTGGTGACCAAAACTGAGCCGCAACCTCAAGATGTGGCAGAACCAGTGTTTTGTACATAGGACAGAATTATGTTATTGTCTTTACAGTACATTCCCTTTTTTATACATGATAGTACCCTGCTCACCTTATTTGCTGCTGCCTGGCATTGCATGCTATTACTAAGGCGACAGTCCACTAGGATTCCCAAATCTTCTTCCACCTTCGATTCCCCCAGTGGAACGGCCATTATAGAGTAACTCGCTTTTGTATTTTTAACTCCAAAATGTATAACCTTACACTTCTCAAAAATAAACCTCATCTGCCATGTAGATGCCCACCCCCCATTTTATCCAGGTCTTCCTGTAATATTTCTATGTCTTCCGTCGAGTTTAATACCCTCCAAATTTTGGTATTGTCAGCAAAATGTAAATATGGCTATTAATAGCAGTCCCAATATAATTGATAAACAGGTTGAACATCAATGGTCCCAAGCAGGGGCGTATCTGCCGCGAGGCAAACAAGGCGTTTGCCTGGAGCGGCAGATTCCCTGAGAGCAGCACTTGCTGTGGTTCTCTCCCCTTGATACATTTTATTTTTCAAGGGAAGAGAACCCTTGAAAAATTCTCTCCCCTTGATAAATTTTATTTATCAAGGGAAGAGAACCGGAGGCTATCGTAGCAGCGACCCAAGACAGAACCTTGTGGCATGCCACTGTCAGCTGAGGACCACTTGGAAATTAGCCATTTACCCATACTCTCTGGACACGTTCACTTAGCCAGTTCTCTATCCAAGTACACACCATTTCATCAATGCCCAAAGATTGAAGCTTGTGAATTAAACATTTACGAGGTACCGTATCAAATGTTTTTGCAATAGTGATTAAATAAGAAAAATCTTACTATAGTTCTATACCTTAGGCAATATCAAATATAATTGTGTGGATGAGTAGAAAAACAGCTAACAAGAAAACAAGTGGTATGTATAGGCAGTTTACACGGTAAGATAATGGGTGCAGAAGCAACAATTACGGAGCGGTCATTGGATATATTGACTTGTAAAACTGTCAGCCCCCATTTACTCCTTAGGATTGCCACAATGAGCGTGAAATCATGTGAAAAATGTGTGTCTTTAGTGGAGTTACACTACAGTGCCATTCATTCTAATAGCACCCCAGGTGAACCATGCATGTGTGAATTTGTACACCAAAACACTTAGTACAAAGTACCAATCCTTTTTATGCGATGTGCCTTCCGAAAAACGTGCATGTACTTCTATGGCATGAAATGAACAGGGTGCCGTGTGCGCCAAAAACACACATACACATGTCACGTCCTGTTGTGTCGCACAGGTGTGAATGGGGGATCAAAAGTGAACCTTTGCTTTGCTCGGTTAGGGCAAAGCAAAAGTTTAACTTTTAAGGACAGCCCCACAAGCATCTTGTTATTTTCGTTCCCTTTCTTCCCTGCTGCAATGAAGGAGAGGAAGACCTGTGCAATCTCCGAGTTTGTTTCTAGAAGAGCTTACGCAGGGTTGAGAAATGTCTCCTTGCCCTCATGTGCTGCCATCTGATGTTTATAGCCTGCTTAAAACAGCTCAAGTGCAATTTAATTATTTTTTTATTATATTTGAAAAGCATATATACAGTATTATCCATGTTGTTACCTAAACAGGAAAAAAAAAAGTTAATTATATAGTTGTAATTACTGCCACTTAATTCTGATTTCCAGTAAAACAACCAGTATATTCATATCTCATATGACTTGGCACTATAAATGTGAAGGTTAAGGCAATAAACAGAATGTTAAATATTAAAATGTTTCAAGGTAATGGATTTTACTTGGGTGTCATAAAGAACACAGAAGTATCAACATTTCGTTGTTAGGTACCAGGAGAAGCCTTAGTAAGCAAAACATTATCAAATTCAATGTCTGATACCACAAAACATTAGTCCAGAGGTAACACAGGAAAAACATTATACTTTATTGCAATATTACATTTTGAGATGAAGGTGAACTTCCATGTGAGGTTAATGAGGGTCTTAGTTTTAGGGAGGAGCAGAAAGGCTTAAAAGCTTTTGCTGCAATATCTGTGTTAAATGGGTGGTGGCAAGAATGACAGATAAAAACTAGAGAAGGGACACTTATTACACATAAGAAGACTGGCCATGACCTTCACTTTCAGACCTCTACAAAGGATATTTGCTTGAAGGAAAAACGACTTCACTTTTTTCAAGGTAACCAAGACAAATGCAGTAGTGTGAACTCTAGGAATTGTAAACTAGACCTACAGGACAAGCTGTTTAGAGAAGAGGGAGGGAAAAACCTCTCACGGAACATTTCTAAAGATTACGGAATGAATACATTTTTACAAAACAAAACAGCATAAATATGACATGGCCTTGAACTAAGAGTAGTTTTAAAGAGTAACAAAAATATCACAGAGCTATGAAAGCTGTGTTCACATACTACATATAGACTGATGGAATGTGTTCACAAAGCAATGGGTGGCGTCATGGCGAACTGGTACAGAAAAGTACCTTCAAGTTCTAATGTGGTTATGTATGCTAATGTTGGACATGGAAGGTACTGTTTTTATATTTATCTTTATGACCCCTAGTACTCGTGTGCTTGCTGTTTATTTGACAATTCTGGAGGTTTCATCGCTGTTAAAGGACACATTTTTAATAATGACATTAAACTGCCTAGCCATACAGTGCCAAGGTACCAAACACCATACACATCAACTTTACGAGACCTCTGACAAAACAAGACTGACTGGGTTAGCAAAATGTTGACTAACCCTGTATTGCTATATTGTCCAAATGAATCAGATTGCTCGTGCTGTACACATGCATGTATATGTAACAGGAAAGAGATCTTTCAGCTGGCCAAACAAAAAGATAGCTTTAAATACACTTCCATCTAAATAGTGGTTACTTCAATGAACAGGGAATTTTGACTGCCTAGGTTTATAACCATCACCTTTATTACAGCAATGCTTCAGGTTAATCACATCATATCAAGTGCAAACAAATAAGTATATGTGAATAATCTTTCATTTCATGTGATTGACTCACAGAAGCACCTTTGACCTTTAATTTGTGCAGTAACCCTTAGCAACCAGACAACTTTCTGTGCAATAAGATTAAAGAATTACAATATCTGATCAAAAAGAAATTGCACTGTTGTCTATCTTAGTTCCGTATTCTTAATTTTAAAAGATTTGTCAGGTAATTAATCTTAGGGAAAAAAATCACTACTGTGTCAGCCTGTTTGATGGTTCTCTCCTTGAGAACAAGTAGATTATTGTATTTATTTTGAATATCTATAGAATCTATATAATTACAGAAGACCCAGCATATCGCATTAATCTTATCTAGACTACTGTGCACAGATAACCCATAAGTATGTTAAACTAATCTTAAAACTGTGATTTTTATCTAGCCTTTTTTAGCTAAATGGAGAACAAAGGTCAATGTATCTTGATAGGACTTGAGATAAACCAAAATAAAACTACCGTAATGCACAACGCAGGCAGGTGTGTAAAAATCATATAGATGAAACCTTGATTAAAGGAGGAGATAATGTGGCAAGGCCATGGCACAGTTATGAAAAGGCTGTTTCAAAGCAATTACAGTAACAGCTGTTCTGAAGAAGCATGAGAACTGCACAGTATAACTGGTAGCGTGCCATAGACCTTTTCCCTAGTGTTTCCAAAGCTGGTCACTCATAAAATAATTAGTGCTCTTTTAAAGGAAACCTGAAGAGAGAATATGTAGGCTGCAATTGCTGAAAGGGGTTCTAAACCCTCCGTTTTTTTTTTACTATATCTACTGCTGTCAAGCAGTAGATATAGGCAAAAAGTTGTTTTTAAAAACGCTTTAACAGCGGTTTAAACTTACCTTGTTTTCGCTGCGCACTACCGTCCGAGAAAACAAAACTGCTCGGGCGGCCGCAAAACATCTTGGGGCAGGCGCATGCGCAGTTCGGATTCTCGGCTGGGAGACGAGCAGAGACGCAAGGTAAGTCTATGGACGCGTGCAACCGCATGCAGACACCGCTGGATCGGAAGTGCCTGCAAGGAGAGAGGAGTCAGCGCTGGATCGGAGAGCCGCCGCACCCCTGGAGGGACAGGTGAAAACATCAGGAAAGAAGAGGAAGATCGGATTAGGAGACATCATTTAAGGTAAGTGCTGACATTAGCAGGGGAAAAAAATTACCCTTTAATGTCACTTGAACTTTTCTTTTAAAAAGTGCTAATCCAGAGCTTGCTTGCTCTGGTTTAATGACTACATTTAATACTACTAACTACCATGGTATATACCTCCATCTATCAGTGTGCCTCAGTTTTTTGCTTGTTTTTCTTTCTTAGGGTTATTTTTTCTTCAGTCAAGAATTTGATACATGAGCTAGTCTCTTTCTGCAGCCCTCTGAATTGGCATATCCTCAGTAATAGCTTTGCAGGCTATACCTGGACCCTGCTGGACTGGCCAATTGTGAGGACCTGCCTAGAATGTGACATTCAGGCACTGGGCTCTGCATTTGGTGCTTTCCAGAGCCCAGTGTACTTTTAGTTAGCTGCAGATCGCTTTCCAGGTACAGCACTATGGCACAGCCTCTGGTGTGACCCTCTGCCCCTTAAGTACTCGTTTATGAGTAGGCCGAAAGCCTGGAAAGTTGTCACTACATTCCTCAGAGTCTTTCTTAGCTCTTTGGGGTGTGGCCCGCTAATGGCCTTATCCAAGGAGAATTTAATTGCAGTTATGCAATATTTTCTGGGCCAAATTGTAACTTTGATTGCTGAAACTGTCCATAGAGATTATAAGCGTATCTAAATGCCTTTCCCTCCTGGACAAATATCTAATCTGCCTGCAGCTTTAGAGGGATTTAACCTTCTGCTACAGAGACAAAGAGTCTCAAAGTCTAACAAAGAGTCTCAAAAATCCTTGCCAAATGATATTGTCCCTGAGGAGTCTATTTCGGCTCTTATTAATGCAGTGCATGCAACCTTACAAATGCAAGGCCTACCTGTGGTTGTTACTAGCAGTGTTCTCAGTCTGGCTTCCCTTAGAGGCCCCAAGACTTCAAAATCTTTTATGATGTACACCCTCCTCCAACACATCCTGTGCAGAGACTCATGCCGGCATGCCTTACCCTACTGCATACAAAAGTTAGTGAATGTTTCACATCTTATTCCCTGAAAAAGCAGAACAGGCATGTAAAAAGCATCTTCTGCACAAAATCTGTTTGGAGCTACATTGGATATCCTAACTGGGGGTCAGAATACTCATCTACCCCAGCAAAAGAAGCCTAGGCCCCAAGCTCGGCAGACTTCCTACCCCCCTTTCCTCCAAGGCCAAGAAGATGGGATGCCCCCACTTTTCATGGTGGGGGGTGTCTGAAAGTCTTTGCAGACATCTAGAAAGACAGAATGTCAGATGCCTGGGTAAAGGAGATGGTTTTCAAACCATGGCTGCAAACTAGAGTTCTACTGTCAGCTCCCTCCCTGATTCATGTCTTCTAACCTTCCCGTGTCACCGCACAGGAAGCGAAAGGCAGACTTCCTCAGCCGGCAGTGCCTGCAAAATAAGCCCAATACCCAGAGGTGTTGCAGGACTTGTATCATAGGTAGGGGGACATCACATGTCGACTTTCTGGCCTCCAGGTTCAACAACAAACTTGGCAGGTTTTTCTACAGGTGCAAAGAGCCTCTGGCGGAAGTAGTGGATGCTCTGGTGGACCTGTGGGTTCAGAACAGCCTGATCTACATCTCCTGAAACTCCTTCCTAGTTTGCTCTGCAGGATTAAGATGGAGGGCATTGCAGTGATACTCAATCCTCCAGGCTGACGCAGGCAGATGTAGTATTGCAACCTGATCAGACTCCTGGCAGACAATCTGTCCCAAGGTCTGGTTTACCATCCTGCTTAACAGTCACTGGCTTTAACAACAGGTATAGAGGCCTTTCAGAATCTGTGATTCCTATAATGCTAAATGCCAGTAAGTCCATTTGCTGGATGGTCTACCAACGCACTTAGAAGATTTATTTTGCAGGGTGAGAGGGAAGAAATTTAATCCCCAAAATATTCTGTGGAACTTATGCTGACATTTTTACAAATAGGTCTGGACCAGCACTTAGCCCTGAATATCATCAAGGGGCAATTTGTTTCCCTCTGCGCTGGGTTCAATTTCGTTCTGTCAAGGCACACGCTACTAGATATATGAGGGCTACTTGGGTGTTTTGCCTTCAGCTACTGCTTCCCAGATTTGCAAGGCTGCCACTTCGTCTTCTGTTCACACAATCTGTAAGTTCTACCAGGTGGATGTTCAGGCTTCAACTGATGCCATATTTGGGTGTAATGTTCCTCACACAGCTTTTTGAGCTGCAGATAGTCCCCAATTGTTTTCTGGATTTTTTTTTTAGTAGACTTGTTAGCATTTTATTGCGGTGTTGCTCACTCCTTAGATGGACTGCTTTTGGATGTCCCAGATGTATCTGAATTCTGTGTCCTTTAATGAACAAGAAAGAAATTAGGATTTTCATACTCACTATGAAATCCTTTTCTTACTGTTCATTGAGGGGTATAGGTCCCAGCCCTCTGTGTTTCTTGTCGTGCTCTTGGCTCTGCTTTTTAAAAGAAAAACTGAGGCATGCTGCGGTTGGGCGGCTTAAACAAAGATATTTACTGATTTTTGTTTGCCAGTATCCAATTACTGCTGTATGCAGCAATATAACCCAGATGTCTCTAAATCCTGTCTCCCTCAATAAACTCAAAAAAAAAGATTTTACGGTGAGTAAAAAAAAATAAAAATGATGTCAAAATATACCTGCTCTTCTACTCAGATATTTGGCAAACATGACCTTTTTAAATGGAGGACCAGAGCTGGGAAACACAGATTTGTCCAGTAATGAAAAAGAATACGAAGGTGATTAATATTCCCTTTTTCTTTGGTTAGCAACAGAGTAAAAGCAAGAGGCAAAATAATGATCCTACATAGATATTGCAATCCCTTGGACTCATTTAGTAAGACTGCACTAATCCACAATAACCAATCAGAAACCATTACATTCATGATAGGATAGTTTCATAGGTTGCTGCCTTTTGCATATTGTCATTGTTCTCTACAGTTCACATACTATACGTATTAATATGAATTATGTTTGTTCTAGGATATCTAGTTACAACTAGGTCACTGTAGGCCTCTTGAATTAAAGTGTCTAAAGAAAGAAGTGTCTTTTTTGCCTAAAACAATTATAACTTTCTGCTATGGGCAATACAGTGTGTGTATTTTTGTGTGATTTTTTTGTGATGTGATATATGTGACACAGAGCGACAATTGGTACAAGATGAGCTTTGCATGGCCAAATACTTTCTTTCAGTTGCTACCCTATAACAATATCCCCTTCCTCCCACCACTTCATCTTTGGGAACCAAATAGAACTGATACATGCAAGGCAGTTATTGCTGGAAAACTGTTAAATATAGAGCCAAAAAACAAGTTAAGTAGCTAATTTTTACTGTTAAATGTTTTGTGATCATGACATTTTTCACATTTCAAATTTCTACAGTCAATTATACTGGACATACGTACCTGAAAAAGTTTAAAATAGTAGCAGAAAACATGTTCTCCCATTAGATTATTCCTTGCAAATTCCTGCCCTGCTTGTGCAATTTTGTTGGCCTGCAAAATAAAAATTGAAATGCACGATATGTTTTATAACCATACGCCAAACACTACTATATGGTATTTCACAAAAATGCTCATTTACCATTCAAAATTTCATCACTGTATTATTTTATACAATGGCTCAACCCAAAGTTGTGGGTGTTAAGAAGGGGGTTGAATTACTAGCTGTTTCTTATTTTACTAAAACTGTAGATGTTAACCTTGTCTGTAGTAGTTTGCCTCTCTACCAATTTCTGCAAAGCCATATAGACATAGTGAAGGTGCTGCTCTCACAGCTGTACTGGTACTTGACATTACACTAATCCTATGGCATAATGTGACACTTTAATTTGGCTGTGCTACTTTCCAATAGATTTTTAACTTTTCTTAACCACTCATGTAAGTTAGGCGCCCTGTCAGACAGCAACACCAAGTTCTGGACTACTCAACAGACTACACTGCAGTTAAGCAATACAGCTTGTTCGAGGGCCACCCCATCCTGTGACTAGATAATAAAGGACCAGCAGTACAGTCCTCTGCTCTGCCCTCCTGTAAGCATGTTCATGTCTGTATTTCACAAAACAAGAGAAACCTGCCTGACCCACACTGCTGCCCCTTCCTCACTCACTCTGGATGCTAAATGGGCAGATGATTATAGGAGGCTGATATCAAGAGAGATTCAGGTATTTAAACTAGTTGTAGATAATTTCAATTAATACATAACTCAATTCAGTTGTGTTTTTTAACTGCTTGGAGTTCAGCTTTAACTTGCCAGCAACCACTCAACAAATAAGGGGATCAGGTAGGGAAGAGAATGAGGGTTCTCTGCAGAGACACCGTCACTTTGCCTTGCATGGGCAAGGTCACATGGTCTCTCTAAAGGAAAAGTAGTATAGTGTTTACCTCAATAATTGTAAATGTATTACTTTCACATACTCCTTCCTTGCTATTGTTTTAGATATGGAATAAAAGATCCTCCCTCTAATGGCTATCTGCACGTCTAAAAACTGCAATTACAATCCTCAAGCTGGCCATATAGTTGCCATTTTTCCTGTTCAACCCCACAAGCTGAATAATAAAAAAAACCTCAATTGCCCCATCCACGCTAAACAGCGGGGATGGAGGAACCTTCTGGTCTGGCTACCTGAACAGTGACTATTGCTGCAGTCACTGTTTGGCCAACAGTTTTTGGCCCAACTTCTTCAACACCACTCCAATTGCTTTTGAATTTTGGCAGAAATATGACAGAGAGTAAGCAGAACTCAGCTGAAATTTTAGCAGTGTATGGCCAGCTATAGTGAACATTAGGGATGGACGGTATCGGTGCCAATACCGATTATTTGGGTGAGTACTCGCCCAAATGCTCCCATACCTTGCCTGATACCGGAACTTCCGGTCAGAGGGAGATTTCCTCTGGCCAGCAGTGCCACAGGGGAACATGGAGTCGGCTTCCCGACAGCACACAGATATTACCATTCATTTTTGCGTTACCTAGATTCATCGGTACATAAAGTCAGAATCTCAAAAGAACGGGGAGGTTGTTACGCAAGGGTTGGTGAGAGGCATCACTAAGTAATATGAAAACATCTCTGTCCCTGGAGAGTCCTGACTGATGGGTTAGAGGTACCACACCAACAGGTGGCCCAATAAATAAGCACTTTTTGGTGTAAAATGCATCCAGGTTTTGAGTTCAATCTTGTTATTGTGTATGTCATGACATAGAATAAATAAAAACACACCCAATTCAGCAAGATACCCTCAGGACCTGTCTTTTAATTTGGACATAATACATATCACTGATTTTACAGAAACAATGTTTTTCATTGGCTAAATAGCAATGTAGTAATATACTGAGTATCGATTCGGCCAAACAGCATGTAATGCCAAACAGCATGTAATTACTTCCTAATTGGCCGGGAAGCTGGCTTCCCGGCCAATCAGCATGGAGCCGGTTTCCTGGGCAATCAAGAAGCAGGGCAGCGGGTAATGACACACCGCCTGGCTTCCTGATTGCCCAGGAAACTGGCTCCATGCCAGCAAAAGTACAAGTAAAAAAAATGGTATCTGTGCATGCCTAGTGAACATATAGCAAGATCATTTGATATGCTATCTAATATATGTGTTATTACTGACTTCCGGCGCCGGATGGACTGGAGGTGTATTGCGGAGCTCCGTCCCAACCACATCCATTCGGTATATACCACGACTGATACACGTCTCCCCGGGCCAGTGACTGCCTCCTCTCACTCCACTAACCATGGACAAGTTCGTGGCCCATTCGCAGCCGGTCCGCCGCAACCTCTCTGCTCCGTCCATTCCGGTGATCGCACAGGCCGCTGGACGACACTGACGCCGATAACGCCATGCCGGTGGGTGAGTCTGCTGTCACATCTCCCCATGGCCCCATTGATTATCAGCAACTGGCAGCCACAGTGGCTTCTCATCTGAGAATAGACATTGGCACCATCATAGCGGACTCCCTGAAACAGCATATGGGGCCTATAACGGCGGCTTTGGAGACACAGGCATCCAGGATGCAAGCCCTAGAGGCCCGGGTCAGTGAGATGGAAGACCAGGCCTCAGGATCTGCTAGATCACACGCTGATGATAAAAAAACGCTGCAATATTTGCAAGACAAGGTTGATGACCTTGAAAACAGATCACGCAGAAATAATATCAGGATCATTGGGATCCCGGAATCCATTCTGCCTAATGATCTCCACCGCTTCTGCTCCTCTATAATGCCACAAGCTATGGGCATCACATCCAACTGTGCAGTGGAAAGGGCCCACAGAATAGGCCCCCCCAAGGATCAGGAGGGACCCAGGCCAGTCATTGTCAGATATCTTGACTATTCAAATATATGTGTTATTTTCAATCTGTCTCAGCGGACTGATAGAGTTGCACTTAAAAATTAACATTCATTAATGGCCCCTGTGCAACATTACTAAGAAGAATGCGCAGGCTACATACAGTGAAGTGAATTTATCAAGACTGGAGCAGACAAAATCTGGAGCAGCTGTGCATGGTAACCAATCAACTTCTCTCTCTCTGTTTCAAATCTTAACTGAACAAACTGAATAAAAAGCTGATTCGTTGCCATGCACGGCTGCTCCAGATTTTGTCTGCTCCAGTTTTGATAAATTCCCCTCAGAATGTTTTAGTAAATATGGCTCCCTCAATTTATGTCCATAACTGTTACCTATAAAAGAGAAATAGTTAAATGAACATTAGCAGGCAAAGATAAGGGTGACATTTTGGTGATGCATGTATGCTTACCTCAGTATCATGATCTTTGACCCACTGGATCTTCTCAAGTAAATCACTAAGGTCTTTCTTAAAAGGAACATAATGTTTCCAGGGTTGAAGCTTACTGTAGAAGTGTTCATAGTATATGGAATCCTGCTTAAGTATCACACTGCTGCCAGCAAGGAGGTATGGCATTCTGTAAGCTGCCACAGTTCCATCAATAAGGACTTGATATTTGTACTAAAACAAAAGAAGAGAAAACAGCAATGATGGTGGTCATGTTTTCATGTACTTTTCTTCAACTAACTTGGAATATAAACTAATGTTAAAACATTTCTGTAGCCCTGACACACTTCCTGTCAAGTAGTTGCAAGAAATTCAGATAGAAACATACAAATAGAAACATAGAAGAGTGCCGGCATAACCAAGTGGTCCAGCGAGTCTGTCCTTTTTTTTTAATGTTTTTTTTTTACCAGGGCTGGGATAAGGGAAAGGGGCAGGAGGGGCCACCACTCCTGTCATTCAGGAAGCTGGAGAATGAAGTGTAGAATTGTGCTCTCTCCTTTCTCCAAAAGCAGTCTACTGTGGGCAGAAGAGGGCAAGGAAACAGGGCACCCACTGAGAACAAACCTCCTTCTCAGTACAGGCGTCCGATGGGAATTGAAGATGAATTGCTCTTCTTCCTGTTTCCCCTTATCATGTAAATATCACATGACCAGAGAGGGGAAGAAGAAGAAGCTGCCTTCATTCCGTGGCTGGTGCCGTGCTGTGAAGGAGGTAACTGAGCAAAGAGGGTGAGAGGAGCAACTCAGCCCTGCACACGCATCTTTCACTCAAATCCCCAAAGAACCCCATATTACCCTACCTCCTTTATAGCCCATCAGCTCCCCTTCCTGCCTTAGAGCTACACAGGACCTTAGTTTCATGCACCCAAAAGAGCTCCTCCCAGTCACCCAGCTCTCCTCCTTCATACCGCTGACACAGATGCCAAAGCAGTCCTCCTCAGACCGACACCATGGATATGCATTTGTTCCTCACACTGACACAGCTGCATTTCTCCCCACCAACACTGAAGAAGCAGCATTTTTTCTTTCTACTGACACCACCCAAGCAGGGCCATATTTTTCTTCCCACATAGGGGCATTTTTCTCTTCCAGAGGCACCACCGGTGCAGGGGCATTTTTTTTTTTCGTACGGTGACACCACCGACATAGGGGCATTTTTTCCTTCCAGTGACACCAACGACACAGGGGAATTTTTTTTCCTACATCATTTCAGTCACATCTTGCCTTTCCCTTCTTTCCCCAAGACTGTACATGTGAAGTTCCTGCAGTTTCGCATGATTTCTTTTATCCCACCCTGCAATGGCTGTCCTTGTGCACTACAAAGGGGAAAGAATACATGAAGGTTATAAGCCTGTGGTATGTCACTAACAGTTTATTGCAGGTACAAGAAATTCCTTAAAGGGTAGGGCTTGTGTAAAAATACCACAAGATATTCTTAGAAATAGCTGTCTCTGCCATTAGACAGCTGTAGACCTCGATCACTTCTTCAGGATAAAAACATAAAAGAGCCTGCACTTCATTCCCAAAGTCACAGCATAGAAAAAATGCTGTTTATGGTATTAATTATTTACATCTCGCGCAGAAAGTTTCTGGAATTCATTTGAACATACAGGCTGGTCTACGAATAAGGGTGTTTCCACTATAAACTATAAGTGGCCCCTGCTAAAAACCTTTCTGTGTAACATCAAAGATGGGACGCTATCACCTTTACATACTACCTAAGGTAAAATCTGATGCATTGGTTAGTTCTTTCAGTTACATTAGTTCTTTAATAGCACTAGGATATAAATACAGACATTTTTATGTTCAGCACCCAGATATTACCATTCATTTTAGGGTTACATAGATTCATCGGTACATAAAGTCAGAATCTCAAAAGAAAGGGGAGGTTGTCACGCAAGGGGTGGTAAGAGGCATCACTAAGTAATATGAAGGTCCCTGGAGGGTCCTGACTGCTGGGTTAGAGGTACCATACCAACAGGTTGCCCAATAAATAAGCATCTTTTGGTGCGAAAGGTATACAGATTTTGAGTTCAATCTTGCCATTGTGTATGTCATGACATTGAATAAATAAAAACACACCCAATTCAGCGAGATACTCTCAGGACCTGTCTTTTAATTTGGTCATAATACATATCACTGATTTTACAGAAACAACGCTTTATATTGGTTAAATAGCAATGTACTAATATACTCAGCATGGAGCCGGCTTCTCGGACAATCAGGAAGCCGGGCAGCGGGTAATGATCCGCCTCCCAGGTTCCTGATTGGCCAGGAAGCTGGCTCCGTGTAGTTTGGCCGGTTCAATGCTGATTGCCTGGAAAGTCAGATTCCCGGCCAATCAGCAACGAGCTGGCCAAACAATATGGAGCTGTTTATATGATATACTTGTGTGACGCTATCACCTTTACATACTACCTAAGGTAAAATCTGATGCATTGGTTAGTTCTTTCAGTTACATTAGTTCTTTAATAGCACTAGGATATAAATACAGACATTTTTATGTTCAGCACCCAGATATTACCATTCATTTTAGGGTTACATAGATTCATCGGTACATAAAGTCAGAATCTCAAAAGAAAGGGGAGGTTGTCACGCAAGGGGTGGTAAGAGGCATCACTAAGTAATATGAAGGTCCCTGGAGGGTCCTGACTGCTGGGTTAGAGGTACCATACCAACCGGTGGCCCAATAAATAAACACCTTTTGGTGCAAAAGGCATACAGATTTTGAGTTCAATCTTGCCATTGTGTATGTCATGACATGGAATTAAAAAAAACCACACCCAATTCAGTGAGATACTCTCAGGACCTGTCTTTTAATTTGGTCATAATACATATCACTAATTTTACAGAAACAAAGCTTTATATTGGTTAAATAGCAATGTACTAATATACTCAGCATGGAGCCGGCATCTCGGACAATCAGGAAGCCGGGCAGCGGGTAATGATCCGCCTCCCAGGTTCATGATTTGCCGGGAAGCTGGCTCCATGTAGTTTGGCCGGCTCAATGCTGATTGGCTAGGCAACGAGCTGGCCAAACAATATGGAGCTGTTTATATGATATACTTGTGTTACATAATTATTAAGACAAATATTTTTGAAGATTGTTAGTTATAGGGCAAAGATGAAACAAATAATTTCAAATAGTCACATCTGCAAAAGTAAAAGAAAAATAAAACAAACCATCTCTAAAAGTAGAACTTAGGGCTAGTTTACACCAGCTACAGGGCGTTCCGGCCCGATTCTGGTCGAAACGGATTGCGGTCGTCTCACTTTGTTGTGGGGCTGGGGGGGGGCGGCCACACGGGAACGAGTGGCACATCAATGCCTGCGTTCCAGTCCGGTCAGAAAAAATAGTGCATGCAGCATTTTTTCTGACTGCACCGCAATGCAGGCATTGATGTGCGGTGGCCGCAATGCGATCCAGTGCATTCCGGCCAGAATCAGGCCGGAAATCACTGTGGCTGGTGTGAACTAGCCATTAAAGGGTATATCCACTTAAAAAATATAAAAATTGATATGGCATTTATAATTGTTGTACAGGCCATTTTGTAATTTAATGTTATTAAAAAGCAACCTTTCCATTTAACCCCTTTTTTTGCACCCATGTTATATTCCACATTTTAGGCCTGAAAATTACTTAAAACCCCCACACATTATATATTTTCTGAATGCCAAGACCCTGTAGAATAAAATGGTGGTAGTTGCAAATGTTTATGTTGCGCAATATTAGCGCAACTCCTTATTAAACCCCAAAATTTAGTGATACATTTATTTAAATGCCCCAAAACACAACAAAATACCAATTTTTTAAATGAAAAGATGGTTACAACGAGTAAAACGGGACACAGAAGCGATCTAGCGACAGGTAAGTCGCCAGAATCGCTTCTGTTGTAAAGCCGACAGTCGGCTCTACAAGTTTAAACAGAGTCCCCGCGGCAAAAGTCACCGGAAGTCTATTTAAACAGCCCAGATGCTGGCGACGTACACTGTACGTCGTCAGTCACGAAGGGGTTAAAACTGTAGCTGCTGTAACGTTCTAAATCTCTCAAAAAAATTCATTGCAATATGGTGACCTGGAGGCATTCTGTGCACAGTTGGTGTATAGAACAGAGCATTCTGTGATTGGCTGACTGATTTTCCCATAAGTCTGCACTAAGATACAAGTAGACATGTGCGATTCGTTTCGTTCCGAATCGAAATTCGGACGAATTTTCGGAAATTCGGACATTCGGATGTATCCGAATTCCGAATTACAGACATAATGAATGCAAACGAATCCGAATTTCCATTTCCGAAATTTGGTAGCGTTCGTACGAACATTCGTTTCGTTTTCTGTTCTTATTCGTTTCTTATTCGTTTCGTTCGTTGGAGCAAAGTGACATTAGAGAAGGAGAAAAATATTTTTTCCCCCTCAAATGTCACTTTTGCTGCAAACGAACGAAACGAATAAGAACAGAAAACGAAACGAACGTTCGTACTAACGCTACCGAATTTCGTCCGAATCCGAATTCCGAATTGACTTTCACACCCGAATCCTGAAAAACGAAATAACACAAATCCGAATTTAAAACGAAACGAAACTAAACAAATTTTTTGGCAGTGCACATGTCTAGATACAAGTATAATTTTTGACATCCTTTGCAACTGGAATTTTATTTTGGGGAGCTACTCTAACCTAAGGGCTAATTACTACTAAAGGAATGCAGACACTGCACCTTTCCCTGTTGCAGCACAGGAAGCCCATTAGCTGGTTATAATGAATACAGACCCTCCCATTCGTGTTCAGTTTGGAAAGAACATAGTGAAACAAAGGACTATTTCTTCAGAACAGAAACAGGTAGGAATCTGCAACAAGGTTTGTTAAAATCCTTGCAATATACACAGATCACCCAGAGAGAACTGATTTTTTCCCCTAACAAAAGTGGAATTACTCTTTAATTTTTTCATTTTGGATAGAGCACGGGAGGGTTATAGCCCCTGTCAGTTTTCTTTCATCTGCGTCTCAATGGGAAGATTTCCCTTCACTTCCTGTCCAATAGCCACAACAGGAAGTGAGAGGAAATCCCTCCTTGTCAGCAGAACTAGTGTCCCCATTAGGAGATTTCCCCTCCATTCCTGTTTTGGTGACAACTCAGAATTTGGGATTGTTGTTTTCCTTTAAGTCTTGGTGAT